ATATAAGGATCTTAAGAATTATCTTGCTTATTAAAAAAAAAATCAGAATGCAGTCGGCATAAGTAACAAACAGAGGTTGGGATAAACCCATTAAGTACTTAAATAATTGTGTCACGAGCGCCCGGTTTTTCCTTAAATTAAATATACTTTTAATAAGCACATTGAGTATGCTTATTCTAAATTTTAGATTTTTGAACCCTAGATTTTTAAGGTAAGAAAGAGGTGTATTTCAAGCGTTTCTGGATCATTGTAACTTATAATCAAGAGTCACTTCAATGGATTTTCTTTACATTTACGTAAGTATAATTGACATATTTGTAGCTGCTTATTTAACTTATGCTTATTTAATTTGTCTAGTCGTAAAACTGTTAACAGGATATATACCTTTCTGACTGTAAGCACCTCCCTGCATTTGCAAAGTTTCAGTGTTGTTTGAAATACATTTTCCAGCCGGATCGAAGGAATTTTGTATTAATAATTATAACAAACTAGTGAAGTAATTTCACAAAAAATAATTCAATATGATGGCAGTAAAACATTGTGGTATTCACGTTGGCTTCTTCCGAAATTCAGAAATTTTATTCTATATCTGCGCCTCCACTGTTTGAGTTAGGGTTTTGTATATATATCTGTTTGGTTAATTTTAGTGGTTTGCTATTCACGTGTCCTAATTTTCTAAAGATAACTAAGACATAAAATTCATATTCCAATTAAAGCTTTAATAAAAGGTTGGGCTATGTAACGTACAATTTATTATTTCTATCAATAAGTGGTATTCAAGATAATTGTAAATGACAATAACTGGTTGTTACTTTAGTCAATGCGCGTAAAAATTAAAATATTTTCCTGTAAACTTGAGCAGGTCAAACACAGTTTGCAATCGCGAGCTACTGAATTTTATTCTGTGATTACGTTTAGAAATTTTTGTTACTAAAAATTGTTTTCAATGACATTTTGATATAAAAGGCCTTAAAAGGCCCGCATAAAAATAATACAATAATTTGTACTCGACTGTATCAATTTCTTTGTCAGATCAAATATTTTCTGTGTAGCTTTATTTGGTAAAATTATTGAATTCCACCTTCGTTATTTTCGAGGTGGCTGTTATGCAATTTAGAATTATGTTTACGCGTCGTCTCTTCCTTATGAAATACCAATTGGAAAATCCTATAGAAAATACTAGCTAGTGACCGAGATTTCGTCTGCGTTGAAAAGTAATTCGAGAGAGTATAGTTGAAAAGTAATTCATATATACTATATATACCGTATTATATATATTATATTTTCATAGTTTGCATTTATAATATTAGTACGGATAAAACAATTCTGAAGATTTTTTCTTCCGCGAAACACCTAAGTCACTTACATAATTTGCCTATAAATAATTGACAGTACCCGAGGCGTGTGTCCCCAAAACATTATATTTATTATTCACGCGATGTTGCCAGTGTTCTGTCATATTACCCCTATATTGGGAAAATATTCGATGTTTGTGAGGGGAATGCTTTCTCTTGGACCTTCGCTCCGATTATTGCTACCGGAAACAAAAAAGAAGAAAACAAATAAAGACAAAATATGCGGAATTGTGTAAAATATTAATATTGTGTAACCTCCATTGTTATTTTTCACATTACATTAGTGTTGATTTGTGTTTGTTATATACAATACTGTCAAGTTTTCTATCATACCAACACTACCATAGTATCTCTTACGAATATCAGTAAAGATCATAAGCGTTTGATCACAAAAGTCATCAGCGCCTTGCATCGCGTTATACGTTTCAAAAACGTCGCAAAACAATGACCGATTTGCGACAAAAGTCAGGACTGATAACATTTCTGCAAGGAATTAATGAATCATTAGAGAAGCCCTCTATTACAGATTGTTATTTGATTAGGGATCACCACCCATACATGCACAGATCATACCATGCGAATGTGTTGCGTAAATAAAACAGTGCAAGGGGAACTTGCGAATTTTCCGGGGGCGTGCAATGTCACCGCACTAACACGTGGCGCGCCGCGACGAGCGCAGGCCTACGCGTTCCCAATTCGAAAGTTTGAATTTCATTCCGAAACTTACTGACCAGTGTAGTTTTGTTTTGTTGACTATTCAATCTCACTTCACTAGGTTTGGTAACGAGTTTGCTAATGTTGGCGAATTGTTGAAAGTTGCACTTTGTTAGTTGTGAAGTTTTAAAAACGACTGTTTATGGTTGTGAATTTTTTTCGCACGCATTTTAAAATATTCGTAATCACAAATTATTTATTTTTATTTTCCATGTCTCATGACAAGAAAATTTATTTAGTGATCGGTCATTATTCGCAAAGTTTGGATTAATCATTCGCTGTCCTTATTCGGTTTAATGCGGAATTTGACGTTTTGAGCAGTTTTCTTGGAAACTCGATGTGGGAGTTCTCAATGTTTTTGTTTGGATGCCAGCGAACTTTACATGAAGACATTTTGTACTGATGAGTTGATTGCGTAAATAATTTTGGGGACATAACGCATTGTAATGTGCATTAATTTCATTGAACGAGTACCTAGAAAAAACATTTTGTGTTGTTATACCGACCGCGTTCGGTTTCGTTTTTAAATTGGTTAATGTTTGCATGTTAGTAGTATGTACGAGCACTTATGGACTCCGTTACTTACGGAGGATTTTTTAAATAGTCGTTTATTTATTGTTGTCGAGGTATTTTGAGCTGGTTATGTAAAGTGGGTTGTTGTAAAAAAGTAATGGCCGGTAGCGATTCCATGACGAATGTCGCCGCGGGTGCGTTTTGAAATGCCGCGAGTTCCGTCGACAATCGAACAGATCGGGATCGAATCGGACGAAAGTAAATCGATATGATTGCCCACGGGTAGATCGATTTGTAATCGGTATGTTATTTGGTCGTTTAGTTGGATTTATGCTTTTTGATCGTTCGACTAAATAATTTACATTTTATTTACAAATTTTGAGACAAAATTAATCAAATGATGTTCAAGGGTCAAAAGAAATAAATAACTTCTATAATATCTAAATTAATTACTTTAAAATCTTGCTAATAAAAATCTAACGTCAATGATGAGGAATTGGAAATCTACCTATAATGAAATATCAACTTGTAGTAAACACATAGTTAGCAAAAATTATATGTGGCATACAAAGGCTGTTAAAAAGTAGGTAGGTACTAAATTAAGTACCAAGAAGCTTTAGGCGTAAATCGTGAGTAATACAAAAGTCCCATATCAAAGCTGAACTTCACGAAGTGTGGATAATCAACATAAATAGGTAAAAAGGTACATTTGCTCATTTCCTATAAGTGTTAATTTAAATGTTTTTCTTCGCTGTTAATTACGTATTATTACTTATTGTTTATAGGTTGGGTGTCAAAGTAGAGTCAAGACATTATAGAAGAAGTGGAAATAATGCACCATTTAATAACGAATATTACACAGTGTGTTATAATAATATTATATTTATTTGCGAATTATGTGTGACTCGTAAGGGCTGTAATAATAGATGGGTGTTTACATACAAGAAACTTTGGGCGAAAATTGTAAGTAACACAAAAGTCCCAACATCACTTCACATCTACATTAGTATGTGCTATTTCAAGAAGCACTTTACACTTTTACTTATACGTAGCGGTAAAAGTTCATTACAAAAATCAAATTTTGAAATCAGAATGTTCCAATTTCGAAACTCTGCATGTTGCGCGGAACAAGCGCAGCGGGCGCTAACGACATCTGTGGGTCACTAAGTGGAACCGTTGTGCGATTCGACTCGGGTCCGATCGAGTCTCGTCGGCTTTTCTGTCAACTCTAAGTATACTCCGTTTAACAATACAACCTTTTTAATCACAGAAATTTCAATCTTACGGTATTCACTTAAGGAACATAGAAACGGGACCATAAGAGTATTTAGAGACGGTCGCGGTGGATTTTAAATTTGGAATGCGATGTTTTTGTAGGCTCTGATTGGGCTACTTTAGCTTACTTATGTTATGAACTTTGTTTGTAGTTTTGTACGGATAGAGGAAGAACGAATGCTTTGAAATGAATGGAATGGTTTTTCTAATAAGGACAAGGCGGTAACGATAAGTCAACTCCATGAAACTTCTTTTCCGACGTGGTATTAGAACTAGTTTGTAAAATTAGACGTTCTAGAAATTGTATTTTGTTTGAAATGTATTTTAGTTAATAATAATGAAAGTAGTTGGCACTTTTTTTTTGCAGATGAATACTTTAGGGTTTTAGATGCGAGAGGAGAATATCATCTGTTGTACAAAATTGATTAGGCTATTAAGACTCTGGTATCTGGTGTTTATAATTTATTAACACAAATTTCACGTCAGGTCATAAACAGTAAAAATAAATATAGTGCAATGTACGCGGTTCCAATGGTAAATTTCTGTAGTCCATACCATTTAGGCGCGAGTCATTACAGTACTCACACAACGGGCTTGGCGGATCCATACTGGCTGTAAGTATTTGAATAAGGAGTTCTATAGAGTACAAGATATGGTAAAATTTTAATTAAATCGGTGAAATAGATTGGCAATAGAAAAATAAAGAGCTATTCCTTGCACTCTGTCCATTATTTTAATGCATAAGAAATAAGACATAATTCTTTAAAAAATAACACACAAGAAATGCTAGAGAGAAAACAGGATTGATTCTAGTGATATTAATAATTTAAGTTTAGATTAGTAACAATATGTTTTGTTTTAAAATTTTGTTTTTAATTATAGTTGATTTTGTTTTTATTTTGTTGTTGTGTTTTTAAATTGATATAACGCCATGGTAGATACCGTTCACATAATACCGATAACATTCTTGTTATTGAGTAAATAAAACATATAAAATAAATAAATAAAGAAGCAACTTGAACATGAACAAAATAAGCTACAAGGAGCTTATCGCCCAACTATTCCTTTTGTCAAATGTGATGGGCAACTATAGTGTAGTATCTAGAAAGGACGCATTTCTTAAGTTAGTTTTTATTGTTTCAGAAAGCCGTCTGTCGATGGAGTGGGCAACGCGGCGTCGGTCAACAGTCGGTGAGTCGAATGCGCTAACTTTATAAACTACACAAATTCCTGAAATACCGTAGTAACTACGACAGCCTTACACAACACCGCATCACACCGCCCAAAACGTGTATATTCTAAACCAATCTACATTCGAGATCACTCTTTGATCCTGAATCGATTTCGCTCGATTTAAAAAAATCAAAATATCCAGGTATCCGATAATCCAATCTCTAAAAATGGTAATTTCCGATCGGGTGTTCTCACGGACGAAACAAAGGGTCAAGAGTGAAAAAAAGGAGCTAAATATTGAAAAGGGAAAAAGAGACAATATCCAATCACAATTACGCCATCGCAGCGTGTAATTTGACGTCGGTTATTCGAGTCGGGTTATGTAACAATGCGTGTTATTCCGATCGACATATCCTTGTAAATGTTACTGATTAACGTTGGCGGAGAATGTTATTTATATATGTTTATATTTTCTCTTTAGACAGCACTTTCTTTTTAAAGTAATATTCCAAAACAAGTGGGTCTGTTTAGTATTCCGCTCGTGTGTCCACTAAGCCCTGGCTTAAGACACTGGACGAAAATAATGAAAAAGCGCCACTCCAGACTAAGCCCGAACAAATTAGATCCATCCGCGCTGTGTGGTATACCTTTGTTTACAGCCTGTACCGCATACAATACATTGTCTCCGCTAAAGGGACGTCAGCCATATTTTTTTTATAAAAAAACGCAATTAAAGCGCAAACGTCATTGGATACAAAAACTTCATGTGAACTATTTTAATAAAATGCTTCTCACTCGCACCTATGGATTTTCTCCGGTAATACCAACCATCTTTTTCGCACTTTGGCAGAACGTGACCAGCGTACTAGTTAGGTGAAGTTTCCCTGCTTTATGGCAGTTTCCATGAAAAATCACCTGGCTAGATACGCCAGCCCCACCAAATGAGTTTTCTTGATATAATGCTCTTACTATGTGCCTTACTAAATCTGGAGGGTGTATTAGTGAGATATGACAAAAAATCCTGGAACCAAAGTCTGGCTTTTACATTTCAATGACATTTTACGATATGAGTACAAATTACTCTCAGACATTAGTACGCCGAGTTGTAATTTATATTGTAACTTATAAGTAAACTTAAACGACATAAAAAAAAACTTTAATAAACATAATTTGAATATCGGCGCCATAACTCTTATAAGGGCCCCCAGTTACAAATTCTCTCGGTCCATAACTAACTATCGTATGCAAATACATTGATTAAAACAATAACAATAAAGCAGTACCATCGAATAAGGCATCGATGCATCGGGATGTTTCGAATCGATCCGATCGCACAGTTCCGATTATTGTCCCTTACTAGGTAACTCGTAATTACTCGATACTATTGTGTTATGAGATTTATCGACGATACTAGCCGATGTTGCAGCAGGTTTATTATAAATCTCAATGCAATGTTCGTAGAATTTACGATAGAAAATGTATAAGCATGGGAATGTATATAGCAGGATCTATAAATGAATTTCTTTACTTATCCTAGAAACCTTAGGTTTGCGATCGGTACACGTTTGCGGGACCTACGTAATCTCAACAATTTTGACGCGAGCGTCCCCACAAAGTGCCAATGAAAAGGTTGAAAAATGCCTCGGTTCCCCTATTCTATAGGCATTAGCATACGAATGAGATTTCTTCTTTGTGACGGACAATATGTTTTTCACTTTCGTTTCCTCGGATCGGTTCGAAAAGGCTTGTAGTAAGATATTTGATGCGCTTAGCTGCGCCGTGACAGATTATTTTGTTTTGTTTTAAACGTACTTTTTTCGACTAATACTTACTTATCTACTGCAAATTGGTGCCTTAATTATCTGAATTCAGCAGAGAGGGCTCGAAAAAACGAAAACTATAATTTGATATATCATCTATCCATATAAATTGTGTCAGAATTGGAGCTGTTGAAAATTGGTCGAACCAATCTCTTTGTAAATAACGAGTTCTTAGGTTTTCGCGATTGTTATATGTAAGTAGGAAAATAATCTATTTTTACGGAATTGTCCGCGTACATTTGTATTTTCTTGTATTTTGCAAATACGCTAACAATAATAATTGAACTAAGATGCCTCTGAGGACAGACTAAACATACCTACTATTGAAATTTTTGGTAGAGGTTGAAAATAGTTGCTAAAATCTACAGTTCCCGAAACATTAATGTGTTTTGAGTTTGCCATATCGATGCTTTACTTTCTCAAACTCGTATCTTATAAAATGTGATCATCCAGGAGATGGCAAAACTTTCTATTTATTTTAAATTTCTTATCAAGGGTGTTAATTTGGATGCATTACTTTAAGAATAGGTAAAAGCTAGTGTGTGAATATGAAGGAAATGTGATGTGAAATGAGCCTGCAAAATTTGTGAACACCTACAATCCATTTTTTGCATTTCAGTAACTTTGTGATTTTAGATACGAGTTTGAGAAAGCAAGGCGCCGATATTCTGTGGAATTTATTATAACAAACAATTTCTAATTCTACAACTGCTGTACGTCGTAATTGTGATTTATAAGGTATAATAGTTGTTGGTAAATATCGAGTATATAACCAGAAATAGAGACGAAATGTCTTTTCATTTGTTTGAAAACTATTTTGCCAAATCATTACCAACTGTAACAACTGCGCTCCGATTTACCAACCCGAATTCGAAATTATTGACGGGTTTCACTTTAAATTGATCAGTTTAACTAGAGCTTTGCTATAATGGACGAAAATTGCAAAATTACTTACATATTTAATGTTTAATTACCAATGAAATGTGATTCCGTTTGTATTGTAGGTAATTAGATGTTTTGCTGTTTTTCCCTCACCACCGAATGGAACAGCCCCCATTGTTAGAGATATTATCTTTATTACAATAAATATAGAATATTTTTCGAATATACGGAGAACACAGATCAATTGTTGGCTCTGTACTATTTCAGTTTTCTAATTTGTGATTTCAGCGCAAACGAGAGTTGATATTTAAAAGTGATATAAGGCCCATGTACCTGATGAGATGCCAGTGATGGATGGCTCTTATTTGGTCTTTATTTCTAGTTATATACTTGATGTTGGTAAAGCTTCAACGCAGTTAATTAGATTCTGTTTCATAATATTATATTGCACTTTGTCATTGCTCTAAACAGTACTGCAATTTTAAAAATACTACACTTGTTACATAGTATTATAACTCTGAAACATCTGACTGTAGAGAACTGTAAACTTTTGGCTATAGGAGAAAGCTATCCCTAAATATAATTCTCAAGACGAAGTAGTGCGTGGGATAAAGGGCAGCTAGTAAAATAAATTTAATTAATTTAAGAGTAGCTTATGCATATGAGAAGATAATGAGTGCGTAGATGGCTTATCTAAGGACGATTAGTTATTCTCTTTGAAATAAGGCGAACTGTATCAATGGTACCTGTAATTTAATTTATTTACATTAGGTACTTTGATCATACATTAGTAGAAAAATAGACTTTTTCAATACTAGCAAGTGATATTGATGATCGGGCAATACACTATGTAAGCGATATTTATTTACCGACAACTAGAGGAAAGTTAGATTTATTGTCTCGATTATAACGCAGTTTTACTTGGAGTTCATTTTAATTTCGCGACTACGAGAACTTCCCCAAGTGGGATTTAATATGGACTTGCCTTTTGTAGACGGTAAATACGATGAGTAAATTTCAATCTTTTTTACCTGACTATAGCAAAAGAAAAATTAGGATGTCAGTAACCTTTTTTTAACTTAACCTTAAGCTCTTCGAACAATAGATTCGGTCACTTGAAAATTAAGGTGTATAGATTCGTCAGAGCCTCGCCAGACATCAGGATATAACAGTACATGATGACCGTTGTTCACTACTTCCCGTACAAAAGATGTCAACGGTTACATTGCAATCTTAATTACCATAATTTGTGCCATTCTGAAAATGAAGAAAGACAGACACAATAAAAAAAAGATTAAGAATGACAGAAAAAACCAAAATAAATAAACAAGACTTGGTTAATGGACTGGAGTTACCATGTTAGTACATTAATCTTACTAACAAATTTGTCAGTTGTACGGCGATGACAAACGTTTTTTACAGATTTAGGTGTATGAAATACACTATAAAAACTATGGGCCACGAATTTCCGCTCTTAAATGGATTCGAAGACTCAAGCGTTTGTGTTTATTTTTTTATGTAAAATTTGCTATTGATGAAGACATCCTCTTCAATCGCAGCGCTGCACGGTAGCGGAAACCTTTTCGAATCTTTACCAAGTACATACAAGATACATCTACCAAAAGTCAAGCTAATACATCCGATTTCCTTTGCTTATCTTATCCACACTAATCTAAACTTTCTTCGACATAATTAAAACGGACGCGTATTGGGTGCATTCATTTATTTTTTTTCCTTCGCACTTTTAATTTGTCGGCGTCGAGTGTTTTGCATAAATTCCTTTGTTTCTGTGAAAAAAAAAATGGTTTTAAAGGTCCAATTAGTAGGGTGGAAATAATTTATTTGCTCTTTATAAGAAAATTTGGAGATTCCTTTTGTTAGTAACTCAAGGTGAAAATGGAATTTTCGATGGAGATTTATTCGAGGTAATGAAAGGTTGAAGATATGCGTCGGTAAATCGAGAGGTTTAAACGATTTTTAATTTAAAGTATAACTCTATGTGAATTATATTAGTAACTTGGGATTTAAATAAATATTACTTAGTAAAGGAAATAAAAAAGCAATTTTGAAAATCGTGAGTAGCTGTGATTTTTTGTGATAAACTGCGCGAACTATAAAACTTAATGTTTCCGACACAACCATAACTACGAGTTGTTGTACATTTCCTAATATCATAATCTTACAGCGAAATGCTTTCACATTTCAACGGAAATGCTTTCTGGCACCCTAAAAATTATTTTGGGAAAAACCGTAAGTTTCAATACCGTTTTAAACTCTATAGCTGAATGTTAAGGTTTAAAATGATGTACGTCGGTA